ATTGAAGGAGAAAGGTACATCTCAGCCTAAATTCAATATTTACAATGAATTTAATAAAAGCAACAATTGTTTGTATTATTTGATCCCACTGTATATCCACACAACCATAACATATGACATGTCTGAAAGCGTGGCACATCAGCTCATATCATGAACAAAATATTATTTCTGATCAGGATCCGTCAGTCACAATAACATTGTTAGAAAAATATTTGTTTTCAGCCGTGAGCAGTAAGCAGCTCTTCTTGAGAAAAGAGGCCAATCTTATTTGGCTGATTGTGCACTGTGGGCCTGGATAATGCAGTGACATGCTGCCACTGCCCCAAAGCTTTGCCTCATTTATAATTGACAAAAGAACTGTGAATCTCCAGAGAGAAGAACGCCCATCTTCCAAGCCTCTGCTGAAATCAACCCTGCTATCTGATACTTCACAAGCAAACACCCATCAGCTGGAAACAGCTTTGTAAACAGATGGTTGTGACAGAGAGAGATGAAATAATATTACATTACATGTCACTTGTTAGACGCTTTTATCCAAAGCAACTTACATACTCAACACTGTGGACAATCCCCACAGGAGCAATTGGGGGTGAAGTGTCTTGCCCAGGGACACAACGACATGCTGACTGCAGTGGGGTTTGAACCTGTGACCCCCTGATCCCAACACCAAGGCTCTATCCACTGCACCACATGCCTCCCAATATGACCCGCTCTCGAACAAAGGAGCGGCCATGAGACAATAATGAAAATTGTGAATATTGAAGTGCAAAATGGGAACTGTAGTGTTTTTCACACTGAGCCAAGCTGGTGTAAATAGTGTATTTTTTAGGGACTATTTTCAGCAGCTGATTTAAACACAATGGGTCCATGCGGGAAAATAAACTGAACAATGTTTGGAACATGTCAGCCAGTGTCACAATGTGAATCATTGACTAATAGTCAGTACTAGTTTTGAGGAAACAATGGAGGTCTATGGCACAGATGAATATGAATTATAAGGTGAATTTACTGTTAGTTTTATTGTCTATTTTTTAGGATCTGAGCCTGAGTATAGCATACTTATGAATTTGACCAAAGGAAACGGCCCATAAAAGCCACACTCCCTGCATCACAGCGTAGCAGCAGAAGCAGCATAAAGCGCCGTTTTTCGTGTGTGTGTGTTACTTGCCTGTTTACTGTGTCCTCACACTAAAAGCACTCGCGTAATAACGGGTAATTACTGCTACTGAGATCCATGTCACATTATGTTAAAGTGGAGGTTGCAGATGTGCCTTCACAGCTCAGTTTCCGCTACATAGCTCCACATTTTTGTAATCGTGATTTAGGTTTTTGTTGTCTGGGGAAATACGTTTATTTTCATAAATTTATTTTTTTATCCATATTGGGTGATTTATCTTTTTTAAGTTTTCAAATAAACTATTATAGGATTCATTTATGTCATAGACTTAAAACACTAAAATGAAATTGGAGATACATGTTTTTTCATAGATAAGTGGTAACATGTGATTCTGTAGAGTGCAGTAAGAGCTTGATGCTTCAAGTTTAATAGCTAACACTCAATGAATCATCAACTGTTCAATTTACAACACAATACAACATGATTCACACTTTCCCATAATGCTCAGCAGCTCCAGCATTAGAACAGTTGGAGATGACCCTATAGGGCAGCACATGTGATGCATGCATTACAGTACATCAATGTAAACATGCACTGAAGCAATATTTTGAAAACAAAGCTGAAACTGAAAAGTTGGCTCCTCCATCTTTGATAACTCCATCCCATAAGTCCACAATGTAATGCAAACTAATTTGTGAGATGATGTAAGCATGGATCCCAGAAGACATCCGATCCCAGACAAAAAGATGAATGAAGATAATATCAGGTTATTTTTCTCAAGTTACAGCACTCAATGAGCTGATTCCTATTAAGCATCCTCCAGAGAGACATTGAAAAGGCTTTTAGTCTATTTGCTCCACTGTAAGAGGTTATTTGTGCAAACATTGATCAGACTTTTATCATTATCCAAGTGTTGCACATGTATCACCTCCATCAGAGCATAGCTGGTGTTCCATCTTTTAAGCCAATTTAGTAGATTTTCTATAACAAAAGTATGTTTGAATATAATAGTATTTGTACAATTATAGTATTGTATTCTATTCAGGATTTCATTCAACAGTAGGTACTGTAGATTTGAACTTGATAATTTTACTTAAATTCAAAGTCTCTGCTTTGTAAACTATCAGGACTATGTATTGTCCCGTAAGTGTGACCTCACAGTGTGACTCGATCCACCATTGACATCCTGCCAAGATTCCTTGTCACAGTTTAAACCTTTTAGTCAAAGTCTTGCACGCCATTGTTGAGTGCTTTGTGTCCAGCTGACGTCATAACATCCCTCCTGTGTTCACGCTCTGCACCCATTAGATGACACTCATTTTATAATCTTATCGCTTGCCTCCTCGACCCTCAGCCCCTTCCCTTGGCACCCATAGCAACCGGACCTGTGGACCATTTCAACTCCCATCAATTTTTATGTGAGGGTGTGTCTGTAAGGTGACCTTGTTCCATAAGATTTATAACATGGTATTCAATGCCCAGCTCTACGTGGGCTGAATGGTCATCCTCTGTATTGTCGTCCATTTCACCTTCTTCAGCTTCAGACTCCTATCATAGTGTTTGTGTTCTGGCATTTGTCTTGCTGTTTTCCGCACCATTGTATGGTTGCTTCTGTAATGGTATTGTTTTTGTCCTATTTTGTATGCCCTGCATGCCAATATTTCTACTTCTATGCCTGATGTCGGATGTCACCCATACGTTTGACACAGTAAAACACCAGATCCTAAAACCCTCCAAGAGCTGAGAGTCGGCTCTGTTCTCTCCCTCGTACATCCTACCTTAAAGACTGTCTGTGTCAGACCCTTGTCAACTCCTCACTGGGGGGTCCCACAGGGTCCTGTCCTGGGTCCCCTCCTCCTTTCCCTGTACACAATTCACTTGGTTAAGTTATTCTCACTTATAGCTTCTCCTAGCACAGATTTGCAGATGATCCTTAACTGATGCTATTCTTTTCCCAGTCTGAAACCCAGGAGGCTGCGCAAATCTCTGACTGTCTGGCTGACATGGTCTCTCAGTGGATGTCTGCATACCACGTAAAGCTCAATTTAGACAAGATAGAGATGCTTTCCCTTCCAGGGAAGGACCGGATGAAAAACTGACCTTCCCTGCTAACATCGCTGCCACAAGCAACTCAGGCAGATACAAAAACACTCCTGGTTGCCATCCTAGCTCCAAAATGGTGGAACGAGCTTCCCATTGATATTAGGACAGCAGAAAGTCTGCACACCTTTCGTCATAGACTGAACACCCACCTTTTTCGAATAGACCTTGGCAACAATATAAAGAAAGAGAAAAAGTGTAAGCTAAATGAAATGTAATAATGAAATGTAATAAAAAGTCTAACTGTATTGATCTATAGTCTTGCCTAGGATGACTAAATGTACAACAACAAGTGCTGCTGGTGTGAATAGCAATGCACTACTAACACGGTCAGATTACAGAAGCTGGTAACTGCCATGCAGGAACACAGAGCTCCAGCGGCTCACTTTGTGTCACCTTCTGCTAATTATCAGCCGTAACAGCAACGCTGATATTGTTTTCACCTTGTAAGTGTGCATGTGCTTGCTCCCCTACTTTATGCCCCTGGACAAATGTGGCCTTGTGATAAGGGAGATCTCATAACAAGATAAGTGCCCTAGTGCACTGTTTTATTATCTAACCTTGGGTCCTTGTGTCAAAATCCAATTTAAAGCAGCTGTGATAGAAATTCCAATGAAATGGCCCAATTTCTCTGCACCTACCCTTGGTATTATGTATGTCATTTAATTGTTTGGCTTTTTGTTGGTAACTTCACTGTCTTGGTTCACTCTCATCGCTCTCTAGTTTTGTTGAGCACCAAAAAGAGTCAGGTGAAGACCAAGAACAGAGCTTTAATAGTGAGTAGAGTGGACCCAAAAATAACTCAAAATGATTATTAATGTTGCTCCCTAACTGGAAGTGTATGTAATGTATCCGGTGGCAAAATAATCACCATATGAACTCACATTTATTGTGGGCAAAAATACATGCTTTATGGCTTTCGTAATGTAGTTTTTAAATAACAAAACCCTTAAATCTGTAACGGCTGGTGTTTTGTTTCTTTGATCCTTCTGAATACCTAGATACCTGTGCAGATTACTTATCATTATAGTATTATGATTTGGCACACATACACGCGTACAAATCTGAGGAAGATAAAAAGCAGGAGGTGAGCTGTGACAAAGGCAGACTGGACAACTCTATAGGTATAAAGGACTTGAGTTACATTCAAACTGAAATACATGTTGGGCTATAATGTAATGTCTGTTTGATGTCCAGTTCACAAGACTGCTGTTTGTTAACCACATGCTGATATTGATCTCCCGCACACTGCTGTATGCACATCACGCCCTTGACAAAAGACTGCTGCAGCTGCAGTTCTCACATGCAATGAGCGTTTGCCCTGTCCTTCACCACATAACAAGATGAACCCGAGAGAAGGATTCATCATTAAAGACATCAGCACACTGAATGGGCCATTGCTAGTATGCACCCTGAAAGGAAGGGAAAAAATACACTCTCCCTGAGGTCCAATTTGTTTTATAAAAAATACATCATGGACAGTTTAAAAATGTAATGAGCAATGGGGGGTGCAAAGACAACAGGGACCAACAGGCTTCTGCAATCTAAAGCTGAATAAAATTGCCCAGATGTTAACCATAATGCACTGGCAATCAACATGTTAATTAAAGACTTCAAGCTGTGTTGATAATTTCATGATATTAATGTTGTTATGCCTGTAATCGTAATAGTAATCGTGAAACCTCCAACAGAGAGAGAGGGGGTGGGGGGAGAGAGACTGTGACACACCCCCTGCTCTGCTGTTTGCTCCCCTCTGATCCACTATCACAGGTTTGCATTTCCTCATCAGTGCAACAGCATTCACGTTTTTCCAGTCCTTCTGTGCGTCCCGGTGATCGCTGCTGCTGCGAGGAAGAGGATGAGACTGTCCTGTTAACGGATCCCCGGACTGTTGAAGCCTGCCCGCCTTTTCTCTCCGGATCTAAGGAAATCGTCTAAAGGTAAAGGCACTATAGCGGGCGGGACACCTCTGCCTGCTGGGACAAATGTCTCTAACACAGATTTTTTTTATTGTTGGGGAGGGGGACATGAATATCATCATGTAAATAATCTCTAAGGATGTAAGTGTGTTTTTAATTAACATAACGGCGATATTGATCTTGCTTCTTCATTTATTGCGTTATGACGACATTATTATGCTACCACCCATTGCGCATAACTTTTTGACCAGCTAGTGACCTGCCTGCTGCAGTGCACCCTGGGTGCTTTAGAGCAGCAGATGCTGTGAGCATTAAAGACAATTCATATTTCATTTGGATAATAATTACAATTTTGATCTCATTGTCATCCATACAGCTCCATGACCCTACCCTATGAAGACAGGGACACATCTAGCCTGTTGCAGTTTATCACCCTGACATGATGGGGGGGTCACTCTGGATTTCCCATGGTGCCACTGAAGCCCTGTTCAATGGAAGGAGCTTCATTGCAGTTCTACCTTTGGCCCTGTTGTTGCCAACAGTGAGAGTCAGTGCACAGACGATGATGATAGGTGGCCCTTTGGACTGCGAGGAGACTTGTGTGTGTGCCAGCAACATCGTCAGCTGCTCCATGAAGAATCTAACCTATGTGCCCACCCCTCTTCCAAATTATACAGCTGTTCTGGATCTCAGCTTTAACAGCATCACCAGGCTACGTGCTGAATGGACCCCCCACTCACTAAACAGGCTACACAGTCTGATCCTCAGCCACAACAACCTCACGTTCCTTTCCTCTGAGGCCTTTGTGTCTGTGACCAAGCTCCACTACCTGGACCTTTCCTTTAATAGCCTCCGCCAGCTGGACGAGTGCATCTTTGAGCCTCTGGAGCACCTGGAGGTGCTGCTGCTTTACAGCAACTGCATCTCTCAGGTAAATCGCGCAGCCTTCTCTGGCCTCGACAACCTTCAGAGGCTCTACCTGAGCCAGAACAAGATCTCCCGCTTCCCCTTGGAGCTGGTGAAGAATCGCACTAGGCTGGAAGCTCTTAGACTGCTTGATGTGTCCTCCAACAAAATCAAAGCCCTGCCCCTCTCTGATTTAAAGGCTCTGCCCGCCTGGATCAAGAACAGCCTGTACTTCCACAACAACCCCCTGCCCTGCACCTGTGATTTGCATGACCTGGTGGCACACTGGCACCTCAAGGCGCTCAGCTCTACTATGGACTTTAAGGATAGCCACACTTGTTTGTTACCAGGCCTACAGAAAGAGAAAATAGCCATACTGGATCTTGACAAGCACTATTTGAACTGCAGTGAGGTCAAGGTTATGGACAAATCCGCCTATCTGGAACAGCGCCTGGTCCTGGACTGTGACAGCAGGCAGAGGGACATGATGAAGAACTGGGTGCTGCCTGGAAACATCTCACTGTCTCGTGCCATGGAGACGCTTTATGATGGCAGCCTCGTGATTGGGCCCCTGAAGGCAGAGGACTCTGGGGTCTACACCTGCTATGCCACAAGTGACTCCTTTAATGAGACGCTGTATGTAACTGTAACCGTGTTTAATTCCACTAAAAGTGGTGGGCTTGAGAACCTAAAGACGGCCTACACTACCCTCATAGCATGTCTGGTCAGTTTAGTTATGGTTCTCATCTACCTCTATCTCACACCGTGCCGCTGTGCATGTTGTCCAGGACAAGGCCTGGAGAAAAGCGACAGTTTCCACTCTTCAACTGTGAGCCTCTCTCAGGCACATGAGGAGACGGGGCAAGAAAGAGGGGTAGGCCGAGGCTTCGCCTACAGACATGTGGCCTTCATGCAACCCAAGGACCAGCTAGAGCAGAACGGGAGGTTGAACCCAATAGAGGAAGACGAGGAGTGTCAGGGGGACAGGGAGAGAAGGAGGTCTGACGCAGAGTCTGTCAGCTCAGTGTGCTCAGATACCCCCATGGTGGTGTGAAGTCAGTGGCACAGCCTGGAGGGTAAGACAGTGATGGCTCGACCCATGTGGCTTCTACAAAGAGATTAGTATGCACTGTTACAAATTAAAATAAAAAATACATTATCAGAACAATTTCCTGATAAAAAACAACATAGAAACAGCCCAAAACATAGTGATAATGCAGAAACATGTGATTTCTTTAAAAGAGGAATTAGTTTGACATTGTCTGAAAATTATTGTCAGGCCCTGCAAGATATTGCTACACAAGCAAGAACGAAAAGAGTTTAATATATGTATTTAATTATCTTTAGGGATTCCTCAAAAATATAATACTAACACTTATAGACAGCAAACAGCATGACAACAGCTTGCGTCTGAATAACATAATTGCTGCTTGAAAAAGTAGCTAATTGTATGCAGAGCTCACCAAATAATCACTGTTAGATGCTTAGAGGTGCACTGTGTCAAATATGGCTCACATTTAGGTTAAAAACTAACTAATATTATCAACAGAATGTGAAAAGGTTACAGACATTATGTCCAAGTGTCTAGTTATTGTCTTTCAGAGATAAACCTAATCCTCTCAGAGTTTCGGTTGAATTTTGCTTATTCTTGCCCTGCTGTTAGTAAGTAGTTTACTTTTTTTTTAAACGGATTACATAAATTGTAAGGACCCAGTTGTAGAGGTAAAAAAAACATTACATGTCGCCATGCATTTCACATTGCACCTTTAATATAATGACAATTTCACATTCCTGTTCGGTTATGATGCCTTTACAGAAAATAAGGAAAAGATCACATTTATGCAATATTTTCAATTTACATTATTTAAGATTTGAGTGGGATTTAATGCTCAGTTAAATATGTGTGTTGGCAGTAACTGAGCTTCTTTTTTAATACTGCTTTGTATGCAAGCCTTTTTTAGATACAGCATAATTACAGAATTATAAACCCAGCCTTATTATGATACATTGTATTTTCACTGAAATTCATTTTATCCAGAAATCATTTTTTATATATTTAATGTAGGTCGTAGTCTCCATAAAAAGAAACACAAAAGATTGATTTACTAATTTGCAATAACTTCATTAGCACATAAACATTACCCATGTGGTCTGCAGACATTTTAGTTAAGAGTTGACTACTGAATCTTTCAGTTTGAACTGTTTAAAAAGTGGTTAATCATGTTCAAATTAACTAAATGCCAACTTAGGCTAGACTTAGATACATGACAGGGGATTCAATTTCCATAAATAACCCTCTTTTATCATCACAATGCAGTGAAAACTATATGTTCAGTGTGGGATTCAGACTGCCGACATCCGGTCCCAATGGAGAGTGAGTAGCAGAACGGCCCGAGGGGAACAACTGAGAGCGAGTACCATCCACCGAATGTTTCTGGGCATTAGTGCCCAACCCTCAACAAATCAGCAAATGCTAGCCAGCTAGCAGTCTCATAAACACCATCAGAAATAGCAGCTCATAGTGCAGCCAACATGCAGGGGGCACAGATGACGTGTACATATAGAAGTAGCAGTTTTCAAACCCATTTTTATTTCTAAAATACCTTCAAACTGTTGATTTGAACTTGAGCAATGTTAGAAAATAAATCAGCAAGAGATTCAGTCCATGCAAAATATGTTTTGACAAACCTAAAGTCACGCTGGCTCTACTGTGATTAAACAACTCTCACAAAAACATATCTGAAAGTAACATTAATGATATAAATAGAATAATTCAGTGAAGCGTTTTAAGCAAAACACAATCCCACACGACAGATGTAGCAATGTACACTAAACATACTCTTATATTGGAAGGAACTATTACCTTATTACTGTCACTTCTCGTGGTGCCTTTTCAAGATAAGCTGTGGTGAATAAACACGATATATTAAATGTCTTTGTAGGAATTCTAGCACTGAACACATGACGTTGTGTGTGGTTTTGTAGAATTATAATGTAGCTAAACATGAGGAACTTCATTGACTTCTATCTCTCACACATATCCACTGTATGCTGATGTTGTACACTTCTTATTTTTCCTGTGAAAGTTTTTACCAAAGACTGACTTACATGCAGAGAATTAATAACCTACGTGTTCAGTGTTTACAGTCAGCACTATATTTATGTTGTTACCAACCGTATTTTCATTGTTTGAATTCAGCCATAAACAGGTTTTTATATATGCAATCCTATATAAGGACTTATTGTATTTCATTATTTGCTGCAATATATCTTGTCTGTTAATGTATTGTTTCTGTATTTCATGTACTAAAAGAAAACATGGAAACTAAGCGTGAGTGATGTCTGTTATATTCCTGAAAGGTGAATGTATTGAATCTTTCTAACAAAACTGCAGGCAAGTAACCTTTAAAAGATGAGGTTAAAGGGATAGTTTAGCAGTTTGGTAAGCAATATTGGTTAATCTATATGTCAAGACAATTATTGAGTGTATTTTCCAAATTGTTAGAGTACTCCGGATGTGACAGAACAGATGGCCTGACATGGACGTCTGTTTAAGTTGAGATCAGACCTCGGTTTGCTGGCTCTAGTTTGTGTATCACATGGCACAGCCTACTTGTTCACTTCAGGGTGAAACTTGAGACAGCACAGCTTGCTGGAGCGGAAACCGTTCACACAAGAGGACATATTTTATTGTACCTGTCCCTAAGACTTACTTTCTTCTGGCAACATTCGGTGCTGCCAGCTTTTCAACCTTATTTGGCTTGTCGACCACAGGATCTGCCTGAGCAGAGTGAGCACCCTGGTCTGTACTCTCTCTCCTCTGCCAGACAGGAACAGTCAGTTGGATTTGTAGTTGCCTCCTGATGTTTGACGTCATATTTAGGTCTCATATTCAAGTTTTAAAACATTATCTTTTAAAGGTCCCCAATTGTACTTTTTTTCATCAATATATTATAGTTCTCATATATACAAAACATGTCGCTGAAGTGTTGGCTCGAAATACCAAATGGATCATTGCAGCATCCCATAATCCCCTCTGTTTCAGCCCTGCTTCAAAAGTGCTGATTCTCTGTCTGTTACTTTAGATGAAAATAAGGAGCCACTCCCCACGCCCCTCTGAGAGAGATTTGGTTGAAAAGAACTCAATGGTGCTCTCGGAGGAGATTCAGGTGATAAGGGTTACACAAGCCAAAAAAATCGTTATGACATCATAAAGTGGGCAAAATCTGATCAGCTCATTTTCAGACAGGTTTTTATATAAATAGATCAGGAGAAAAAGACAGTGAATATTTTTTCCTGAAACTTTCAGAATCTCTTTACACAGAGGGGACACATGTTTATGTATATAAGACATGAAAAAGTGGATTTTGCATAATAGGTGACCTTTAAGTTTAGTTTCATCATTAATCATTATGTGAAATGCACTACATCACATTTTGTCACGCGACAGTGCAGAAAATGTGTGCAGAATCATTTTTTCAGGGTCAATTTTTGTAAAGAAGCTAGTCCATCTTCCTGACAGGCTCTGCAGTGTGAATCCTCACCTGCCGCCCTGCAGCCTCTCTGCAGGATGAATGATTGACGAGGTCTAAGGATGTCCACACTGCCTCTTTCAGTAGCTGCTGTCTAATCTTACCATGTTACCCAGAAATACATGCAACACCACCAGCCAGGTGTGTGAAACTAGGTTAAAACAATTTGAATAATGCAAAGCAGCAATGCGGCATTGAAATCAGACTTTAAAAGTATTTCATTATTGAATATTAAAGAGGATTGCCTGATAAAAGAGTTGCTGTAGGAGGTATGACAGGGTTAACGATCTGTGTGTGGATGCATATCTTAAAATGGAAAAACAGCTAAATGACGCCTCCCCGTAAATCACAGACTATAATTAGAACAAATGCAGCAGCCTAAAGAAAATCTGAGATCACTGAATATCACAGATGGCATGAATGTAAGCCGGCGCCTGTTGACAATCAATGACTGGCAGCGGGTTCTGTGTTAGGGAGAATGAATTCTAAGTAAGATGAGTCACCCTCTCCTCGGGCCCCTCCCAGGAGGATCACATGGATCACATAAATGACATGAATGAGGAAGTGGCTGTCCTCTCTGAGTCCTCTGCCATCTAGTGGCCATGAAGCATTTGGGTTGACTGTTCCTGCCTTTGCAGAATATTGCAGGAATTTGAACCCTCCTCTAAAATAAAGACATGCTGAATGTAAGATCTGAAAGGTTATGTTTATTAGTGTCATTCACAAATATGACTGCTTTTACACGATAGTTTGTGGTGGTGGACAGTAGCCTAACTACATTTACTCAAGTGCTGTTCTTACTTCACTGCATTACATTTATTTGATAGCCTTAGTCATTCTGACAATTCAGATTAATTTAGCAGGTATTATCATAGGTTAATAAACGATTTTGCAAGCTACTTGGCAGTATATATAGTAAATAAAGTAAAATATGCTTCTCCTTTACCAGCTGCAACAATAATGAACATATTCATACATCAATCATTATAACTTGTTATAATATATAATATCCTATACGACAGTGTGCAGAACTGAACACAAATTCAGAAGTTTGTACTTGTAACAGAGTATTTCCAAAAATTGGGATCAATAAAGTACTATCTTATCTTATCTCTTATTATCTTCTACTTTTACTTGAGCATAAGTATATCATTTGTGGAATAGTGAATTGTGATTATAAAAATAAAATCAATTACTTTCTAAATATCAGCAGCTGTCTGAAGCGACTAACAAACAGCTACTATCATTTCAAAGAGGCCCAGTGTTTTCACACAGACTGAGCAAAGCCCACCCTGTTGTTTCCGATGTCGAAGGCGGTGTAGTACTGCCGCATGAACACCTCTCCCAGGATCCAGATGCCGGCTCCAAACCCTGTGCTGCAGCCGGACGAAGACTGAGGAAAGAGGACATGATTCAACATCATCTTCATCACCTCAAGTATAAATACTGGAACAAACGTAAATCTGTCTAAATGCTTGTTTAAGAGATACAAACTGGTACAACTAACTAGTATTGTATACATAAAAGGTTTATGTTTGTGCTCCTTTGAGAACTGAGGTTAACTACTTTAACCCCAGCTTCTATAAGTAAATGGCGCAGCCCTCTAAGGCTATCGCTATTGGGTAATCCCCCTGCGCCCCCGCGCAGCACTGAAACACTTGTAGTCCACGCCCACCCGCAAGGTGGGCCCCACCCTCGGGCCTCCTTCCGGTATAAATAGGAAAGAGGCCCGGCAATCTGCTCCCATACCAAATAACTTTTCTTCAGCTATTCGTAGAGCCAGTGGGGCCCAGTGCTTAGAGGGCTGCACCATTTACTCATAGAAGCTGGGGTTACATTAGGTAACCTCAGTTCTATTTCGTATGGCTTCGCCCTCTAAGGCTATCGCTATTGGGTTAAGGGCGAAGCATGATGTAGTCTGCGCCCCACTGGGTCCGCCCGGCACTAGAAGCACAGACACACCTGCTAAATAACACCCCATGCCTGTTGTGCCATGCGTAATGGCGCATCACCGTCCCTGGAACATAGCAAAACATGCCTATCTTCCCGACGGGGTGAAGGCTGGGAACAATACATACCGGCCGCTGTGAGAAAGTAGAGACGAAGGTCCCACCTTGCCCAGCGATGATAGAAGGGGAACAGCAGCTCTCTGCGTGTCAGACAGGAGAGCGCCCAGCTGGATCCCTGACGTCACTCACTCTGACAAGACACTCCGTACCAAAAATGTGTCAGAGGAAAAAAAAGGAAACATCCCTCTCATAAGAGGGAAAAAGGGCTGCTCTCCGCGTGCCGAGAGGCAGGAGAGAGGCGCACAGCTGGATCCCTGATGTCACTCACTCTGACAAGACACTCCCGTACAAAGTGTGTCAGAGGAGAAGAAGGAACATCCCTTACTATAAGAGGGGAAAAGGGCCGCTCTCAGCGTGCCGAAGAGCCAGGAGAATGCGCAGCCTGACAATATCACTCTAACGGACACTTCCTGCCGGTGCACAGCTGTTTGTCAGAGATGTGAACGTGAGGACGGACTCATATATTTGGATTGGAATAAGCGCACAGCTTGTGGATAAACCTATGAGGTGATGCAGTCTATGCTGTGACACATGCCGTTTCACTCCACATGCCAGTGTAGCAGACGCTCGTCGAGACAGAACTGCTTGTTGTTGGATGTGCGGTCATTGTGAGTTCTTCTCGGGGCCCCCTACCCCAGAGTGAGACATTTGCCTGTTGACATATCCTCACACGACTGCCTCTATTATGCGTAGTAGGCAAACATGATTGGCGTCCGAGAAGCGCTTCTCTATTTCACAATACAGTGGTTCGCTGATCCCGAATTGTGCGCAGTTCCGCGTTGCGCGGTCACTAGCAGGACAGGTGCGGCGCGCACAGTGACAGGAGGAGATGAGGACGCGGCGCTTCTCCTCCGACCTGTGATGGAGGGAATGTAAGCTGAACATCCAAGTGTGATCACTCCACGACTCTAAAGAGCTTGTGATGACCTTTGTGCATAAAAGCCGGGTTAGGGCGTAAAACAGAGCGAATGCTGCCATCTCCGTTGGATCCGGAGAGCCTGACGGAAGCCACAGAGAGAGCAGACAAATCATCTCAACCGTTTTCGCTGATAGAGCCAAAGTAATACTACTTTGCTGACATACAGTTTAAGGGGAACCTGGTCTAAAGGTTCCAAATGGGGACCTTTGCTTCGTGTGCGTAACATCAAAGCCAAATCCACCTGAGGCACCAGTGCGCGTAGTGACACAGGTCAGGTCTCGGTTACCTCCTCGCATAACACGGCCTGCTGCGCTTCTGCGAGCCCCTCTGTTCAATTCGCCGGGAGATATACATGCTCTCTGATGGAGAGCAACGGTTGTGCGCGCCCAGAACAGCAGCCGCCTGGCTGCGTTCAGAAGCCTGCGCCAGATCGTACTCCTCACCTGGCCGATTGAGGTAATGCTGCTTCGCATAGCCTGGCCTGTTGGTCTGTGCAAATCAACACATGTTTGATTGTAACAACGGCGCGCCTTCCCCCGTTCTTTTCCGGAGATGAGATTAGAAAAATAGCAGGGGAGTAAAAACACGCAAGGAGCACTTTCCTGGGATGACAGAGTGTTCTTGTATCCCATGTACAGACTGTTGGGGTTGGTGTGGAGAAGCGTTCTCTGTGATGTGCCGTAATGGTCATCATGGTGAATGAGCCACGCCATCTCGCGCGCCGCTGCCCCGTGAGGCCAAAGGTGCTGCGAGGGAGTTGTTCCACAACGCTGCATTTCACTCCGTCTCTCATGTCCATGAGGCGCGTACGCGCGCAGGGGAATGAGAGGTGTGTGGATGCTGTTCCACACGGAGGTATGTTATAACGGTGCTCGTGGGTTTATTATGAATCGTGTGTAGGAGGCATATCTCTGAACAGAGGAATGCCGCGAGCTCTGCAGTGTTAATAACAATAGGTTAAAACCAGCAGGCTAGCAGGACCTTCTGACTCTAATAAAGCGAATGATACGCACCGCTACCTGGAGTGTCTCGCTGTTGGAAAGACCCAGGGGTATCATTACATGACCAGCCTCACTCCCTTTGAACGGCCGCACAGCAGACGCTGCTCGTCACGGAGTGGGCTGTGTGGAGTTGTGACACTACCGGAGGAGAACTCGTCAGATTCTTCCCCTAAAGCTGTCACGAGAGGTTTGCAAAAAAGCACTCAGATGCTGGTTCTCGAAGTTTTAACTCCACTCGCAGACAAACGATTGTCTGAATGAAGAGGACAGCTGTATCTTATCCTAACCCTTTATTATGAGAACCCAGGCTGTGACACATAGCGCGAGTTCCTATTCACAGAATGGTAAGCGTGTGAAGGACGCCTCCGGATGCGAGCCAGCAAATGCAGGTAGTGAGAAAACTCACTCTCATCACTCACTCTGTGGAGTGGCTCCAGCCTTCACTAACACAAAAATCGCTACCAGAGGAGCCAGGCAATAGCGTGTAGCTGTATTAACGGCCCGAGTGACAGTACTGAGTATCTGATATTGTCTGAAATCGGGAGAAATGAGGGAGTACATATGTCTCCGGGATGATGGTACGTGGAGAGTAGGCATCATGCAGATGGGAGTGTACCACGCGAAATCCTGATGAACTACAAGTTATGCCATGCTGTACAAAGCCTGTGTGAGCGTCAGCATGCTGGAATACTGTACGTGCGAGGATAGGCTCATTCACCCCAGCTCTTTTCCCTCGCCATAGAAAAAATAGACTGTGAGTGATTTTAAACCCCTGAATTGACCGACTTTGAGGAACCCTTGAAATTATACTCTTGCAATACAGGAGTCAGCAGTTCTCGAGTCATTTCGAGTCGCAAAGACATAGGTCGTGTGATACAGGAGTGTTCCAGCTAATCGCATTGAACTGTAAACGTGTTCATGAATGGCGTACTGCAGAGGACGTATCCTCTACTGATCAGCTGCTCATACCCAGTAGTCTGTCCATCAGACACGTATGCTGCTGCCATCTAATGGAACACCTGTCATGATCAGTGACATAAGCAATGCTCGAGATAGTTGTGGTCGTCATGGAGAAGAGCCACAACAGGGAGCTCGCACACGCCTGCGTGTCAATCTCAGCTATCATGACAACAGTTGAGGCTGTTGTATAACAGCACGCTCATATCGATGAATGGAGTCTGTGCAGTTGCGATGTTCACACGAATAGTTATAGACCTCGCTCATGGAGGCATATATGACGTGGTGACAGGTGCCGTAATCACGGACCAGAGGAATGCCGAATTGCAGGTTACTAACTCGAGGTCCATACGGGCAGGCTTCTGCAATGAGCCCTGCTGTACTACTTAATCAACAGAATTAGTGGCTGCTCGGCTTGATTAGCTGTGCTCCCTGCAGGCTATTAACCGATAGGTAAAGTACTGCGAGCGCTGGGCAGTGGGCGCTGCGGACACGCTGCCGCTGGGTCACTCAGCCTGGAATACTGCTCATTCATGAGTCCGCGTACTCTGTGATGTGCTGTGATGGATAGTCATGGTGACAGTGCACGCCCAATTGCAGCTCATCACGCCGTCCGCTCATGGGTCTTATTATGACCGTGTGTACAACGCGTATCTCGGACAGCAGGAATGCCGCGAGCTCTGCAGGTTTATTACCGATAGGTTAAAACCAGCAGGCTTCTGCAGGGAGCCCTGCTGTAATATAACAGATTCAGTGGCACGCCGGCTTATTACCGGCTCCGCTTACCTCGAGCGCTCTCGCGCGAGCAGACATGGAGCGGGGGAGCATCACTCCCATTTGACTCGCGCCGCGGGAGACCCTGTCCTCTGGGGTGGCGGAGCGGGACGTGGACGGAGCCCCTGCGACCGCCGGCTGTGGGCGGTTGCGGCCTCCTGTGGCCCGGCGGTGCGAGGCCGCGGGCTGCTGCGCGGCGTTGGTGCCGCTGCTGGGCAGGCTCAGCCGACCTGGAGCCTGCTGTACATGCTGGCCGAATGCTCCGACCCTGTTCCGCGGACCGTCTTCATGGACTCGCACCATGCGTGGAACTGGGGTCCGAACAGCCCGTCCGGGCTGATTGGAGCGTCCAGTAGCACTTTTCTGGCCGTATCCGTAACAGATCGCCGCTGAGCGCTGTGGTGAGCGGAGAGGGGGAAGCCATAGTTCGGACCGCCAGCTGGGCAGCCCTGCTGCGACTCTGTCTCCCCGTCCGGGGGAGAGGAGGGAGGGGAAGAACCGAACGGTGAACCGTGGAGGGAGGCGGCGGCAGGAGTTGCCTTCGGACTCCTACCCGGCACTCTGCCCGCAGGGACACGAGGCCCCGTCCGCGGCTGTAAAGGCTGGACGGGGCCAATCGTCCTCGCTCGGAGGCACAGCAGCCAGAGTGAGTCCGCTCTCCGCTTCCTGGTCAGGCCCGAGGGGAGACGAGCGCAGTGTCATGCTACCTGCTGGTTTAAGAGCCGCGCGTACGCGTGCTCTGACCCCCGGCCGGGATTCGCATACTGGCTTTTATCTCTGCAGGTCATAAATCATTATGAACCCAGAGCCACATGAAGGGACAATCACGCGACGCAGTTGTTTTGCTCATGATGATTCTCATTGCTTGTGCTTCAGTAGCTGTGCTGGTTTGCTGAAAAAAAGAGGGAGCAGATTGGCCGGGCCTCCTTCCATTTATAGCCGGAAGGAGGGCCCCGAGGGTGGGCGCCGCACCTTGCGGGTGGGCGTGGACTAGCAATGTGTTTTCCCGTGCTGCGGCGCGCAGGGGGATTACCCCAAAAAAAAAAAAAAAAGAAAAAAAAAAGCCGATTAGCCTTAAAAGAGGGGCGAAAGCCCCAATATACCGGAAATTAAAAAAGAAAAAGCGGTAACCTGGTATGTACGGTTTCAAAATGCAGCCATCTCCTTTGACCAAAAATGTACAATTAATAACCTCAAATAAAACTCACACATGCTTTTCATTGTGTTACTTTTTGTAAAGCTCCCTTTTTAAAGTTTTAAAAAAACCTGATTGTTTTAATAAGCAAGCCTTCTTAGTTTTTGGCAACAGTCTGTAATAATACCACAACTTTATAATAAAATGCCACATTTACCCTT